TGCATATCCAACCTCTAAACTTTTCCAAATCTTACGAGAATGTTGTTTTTGTACATCCTATATTATCTCTGTTAGGCACGAGATCCCTTCAGATATTTTTCTGAGTTGTATTCAATCATTTTTGAATAAGGAAATCCGTTACTGAGAAAGAAAGTCACATATCTATCTATCACGGAAAAAAATACACAGTGCGGGAAGAGATGGCTAACACTGATGCTCTCCTTAACACATTGGGCCCGATATCGCCCACCGGTGGGCGACGCTATAGGTTAATGAGAAACTGTATAGAAAAGCACTTTCTTTTGCTTTTTTCTTTGGCAAGAGGTTAAACATAAGGTGTCATCTGTTCTATCTTCAGTACTTTATTTGAGTCCTTTATTCCATAGCATAATGCTTATGATTAAAACACTCAAAACAAAAAATTGATCACAGTCAGAACAGAAAGCTTTTACTTTCTTTGCTGCCGCATTGCTCGCTGCTCTTGACTGTTGGGCCTTTCTCTTCTCGTAGCAGCCAGTGCACCGTCTGCCGACATTGCGCGTAGATCCTTCTTTTTCTTCGAGCTTGTGATCAGCGAGTTTGCGCTTCGAATGACTTGCTAATTGTTGTCTTGGACCGGGTTTCAGCTTCTCGATTGGCGTGCCAAGCAGTAAAGCCTGGACAAGACTTTCACGAAACTGCAGAATGGTCACTTTGCTTTCCGTATAGTTTTCCTTGTATATCAAATAGCTATTTACTATTGCCATCCCAAAAGGGTGGGTGTGGGTGTGGATGTGGATGTGGGTGTAAGTATTCCTTCTATCTGCACCCACACCCATATTCGTATCACTCGAAGCTGTTTGGCACAATATATACGAGTGTTTCCGAAAATGTTGCAAGAAACCATTACCATTCAAGCTATGGGAAGAAGATAATAAATTGATAGATTTCGATGCGACAACTCTTCTCGAAGAATATTTAGAGATAGGTACGAATATTAGAAATTTCTTTGAAATTCTACAATCATTTTTGATTATTTTAGTCATTCAAATTGGTTTTGTCACAATGTTTGTAGCTGCTTTTCCGTAAATTGAACATGTTGAAAATTTTCTTTCTTTCAATTTCAATATTGAAAATAAAACAGACTAGTACCCTTATTCGCTTTAATCAACAATCTTATTGCAATCCGTTTGGATATATGGAAATTTTTGACAAAATACAAACGACTAATTTCATTTAAAGCAGCTGATATTAGCATTTTGGATAATATTCTTTTCGGTATTTCTTATTTAGCTCTATTGACAAATGTGAGCGTGTCCTTTTCTGAAAACAATTTTATATTATTATTTCGACTGTTGGCTAGGCCGCGATCATTGCTTGAACATCGGAATTTATCCCAGGAATATTCTATTGTGTAACAACAACAGATAGCAATAGTCTGATAGGTTATGTCAACTGGAGACTTTCATTATTTTCGATTGCTAATTTGAATTTAACAAATACACTGACATCGAATGTACCAATAAATGTTGTCTATCGTTGGTGAATGAGAGAGAAACCTTTTCATCTTATAGAAGAAAAATCAAATAAGGAAAGATTATAAACAACTGAATCTGAAAAAGTGTTATGTTGTGATGAGTTGACGATGAGGAGAGAGCAAAAGAATTTCAGCTCTTATCTAAGTGAATAAATTACAGAAAATAATAACAAACTCGGTACAGAAATAATCTTGCCCGTGATGAAGTAGTAAGCATAAGACAAAGCTGACACATCTTTCTTATACGAATATTTCGAAATTCATTTCAATACTGTGTCATCGATAGAGACACTTTCTCCCTGAACTTGAGTCAGTTATGATTTTATTGCTCATCTATGAATCTTTAGTTACCGTGGTTTTCGTGAACCGATTTGGTCTTATTATAAACTAACGCCAGTCTATTGAAATGTTCTTGGTGCTCATCTTGCTTTCATGTTAGTTTTTGAACATGTCATCTTTGCTATTGTTTTTTTGATGCAATGGTGTATACCAAATGTACCCCTAGATGTACAAGAAAAAATTCAACATGAACATTTTCCTGATCAACGAAAACGATGGTCGAGTAAACACACACATGAAGAA